AGTGGTGGGAATCGCAGGCTACCTCACGATACGATACGAATCACGATACATGGCTCACGATATGATCATATCACGATTTTATAATGATACATCACGATATCTGTCTAACTATGAAAACAAAATGCCTGTGAAAAGTTTAAGTGCAAGTTTTCTCTTTATTCAAGTCCAAACTGTTAGAAAACAGCACAAAATTTCTGTAAATCAAATTTAAAATGCTAAGGAAATTAATCATTTTATTCTTGGACGTATTAAAAGCTTACACTTTTCTTGGTGTGTAAACCAACACATTTAACTGCTTATCAACTTTATATATAGCCTATATATAAACCTGGTACATTTCAAAATTTACCTTGAGCGCTTTCTCAATCTTTCCTCTCATCATAAAAACGGAGCCCCCCACACATGACATGCAGAGAAGAAAATTCACATCGCGTCTTTTGCGCGCTCAGGTTCGTTATTTCAAATGTAGATGCGCGGCAAGCACACACTGCACACTTCTGTGCCGCATTACGGCTCTGACGAGGTTTTGTTTCGTTGTCCGTGCCATAGGTGCAGATTTATGTTTCTGCCGGTCGGTACGCACTAGGGGTCAACCGATTATCGGCCTGGCCGATTATCTGCGCCGATATTAAGCATTTTTATGATTATCGGTATCTGTCATTTTCAAAATCGATTCGCCGATAAAATAACTTAATTTTGAAACGCGCTATTTGGCTCTGATGCAGCCTGTCAGAACTCACCACTCTGTGGCCTAAAGCAATCTCCACCCACCGCCCATCTGATTTGTTGGGAGTCACGAGTCCGACCAATCAAAGCGGAATTCACTCTCACTCCAAAAGCGCTTGCTAACTGGAGCTGCTTCAGTGATCACGCACCAGTTGTCTCTCAAAGGTAAGGTGGCAGCAGCAGACGTTGCTTAAGTTGCAATAAATCACAATCCACTAACGTTACACTGAAGTTGCAAAACACCTGAATATTATCTATGATTTCCGCGATGCAGAAAATGTGGAAGGAATCGCGGAATCCAGTCATATAAATGGAATTTACTGTATGACGCGGAATGTCACGGAGTTTATCAAAGTTTGGATGAATTCATCAAAAGTCAGTACACTTAAATAGAGACGCGATATGGACTAGTATCTGTAAATATTAAGCCGCAAAAATACTATTTAATTATGAATCCAGCATGTTCTGCGTGTCTCTGTGTATGTAAATGGCACAGACGAGCGGTTTTGTTTTCTACACATACAAAGTGTGCGACGCTCGCGGTGATTTCAGCTTGTCGCCTCACTACATGAGGACGTAAATACATGAACAACATCTCCAGAACTGCTCTGACTCCCTCTGAGAGTCACGTCACGATCATTTGACAGTTTAATTTGAGTAAAACTATCGCAGTATTTCCCACAGACTTAAACTCTATTTGTGGCGGCATATATGCAAACTCATTCGATGTTTTGATTAAAAGATAAATTAAATTGATTCACGCCTTCATTTGCACTGTACTGTAAATTAAAACTAACTGAAATTTCTAGCGCCACATAGGCCAAGACATTTCAATAGGCTATTGTACTAAGTGTGCCTGTAAAAGGATATTAGTGTAATAGTTTCATGAAAATAGTTCCAGTCTTCTTAACAACTACTACAATATAGCTATGAAGACAATTAAATTATTTACACTTATTATATACATTTTTTTAAAAGTTAATCCATTGATGTGCATTAGATGATGAATTGAATAGTCACCTCTACTATTGTAGATTATGTTTTAGTCATCAGAAAATAATTAATGAGGAATTATGAGAGGTTATGCTATTACACATACATTTCTAACATGTAAATTATTGAAGCCAAATACTTACATTTCCCCATTGTTTAGCTGTAGTACAGTATTCATAGGCTTAATCATGAAGCATACAGTGGCCCCACTTTTAACTCTCTCTTTATATTGCCCTTATTGTAGATGGATGCACAGAGGTAGACAAGAGTAAGAAGTGCAGTGTGGGAGTACTACACTCAACCAACACCAGGGAAGGCAGTTTTTTTTTTCAGAGTCCTTTTTATTCTTAATTTTGACATTCATTTTCATTTTTACACCAGACATATATATCGGTTCAAAATATCGGTTATCGGTCTACTTGATCTGTAATAATCGGTATCGGCCCTGAAAAACACATATCGGTCGACCCCTAGTGCCCACTGTATAACGCGCACTTGTAATAGCCTATCTGAGAAAGAGAGGGAGAGCATCCAGGTTTGTTGACATAAAACTGGACGCGCCGGCGGTGCTCTCTCTCACTCATATGAGGGAAATCCACCTGCGATCCAAGAGGAGAGGTTAGGCTACTCATGGACTGAATAAGCGCTCTGCAATAATAATGTGATCGGTGCCTATGGTCCACGCCGATAGCTGTTCTGGGGCAGTTTTTTAGTTCTCATTTCCATAAACATATACAGTATATAGCAGTAGAGCTAATAAAGTGGCTGGAAATCTGTTTATCCTTCGGTTCATGGTTGCTCAGAGCGCTTTGGAAAGAAGGTGGAAATGGCGCAGCCGCGATTTCCATGCATTTTTTAGATGCTGGGAGCAGGAATATCTATATAGAGAGCCTCATTGTAGTAATATATTGTAGTAAATTGTAGTATTGTATTGTAGTAAAATATAAATATTTGGCACCAGATATCGATTCTTGTATTGCATGGAGAAGGACAACAATATATCACCATATTGATATATTGTCCCACCCCTAGTAAAAATCTCAACAAACTGAAAAAATAATAAAAATACAGTAGTTTTTTGAGGTAATGTGTGATGTAATCTTGTTAAAACGGATTTCATAAAATTGGTACAGAAAAAGTATCATTCAGGAACCAGCATCGATATAAAAAAATGTTTAACAATACCCAGCCCTATTTGTTAGCATATTTTGGTGTTGACAATTTGAGATTGTGATAAGAAATGAGTTTGGTTTGTGAAAGAAGTCTCATTGAGTGACTGAGCTGAAGATGAAATGAAGAGCTGCTCAAACCTCTCTGTTCAGTTTGTCTCCTCTTTCTCTCAGCTTTGCCTCCAGTGAAGCCACCTCTTTCTTCAGCTGACAGATTTCTGTGATGAAATCCTCAATATCCAGCATGGACAGATCAGTTCCTACTGATTTACAGCAGACCACATCCACCTGCGCTTTCATGCTCAACATCTGAACACACACACATGATTATTAAAGATGCATTTATAATGGACTGACACTGATTTAACCTCAAAATGATTGTTTACATACGACTGAACAAGAGCTGAACTACACAGAACTGACTTGTTATTAAAGAAAATAACATTTCAGAGAATATTCATAAATGTTTATTTCAGATGTAAGAGTGTTTGTTTAGTTTCAATATTGAGTCAGCACAAAGCTAGACATAATTATCAGATATTTCTGATATTGTCAGATTTCTACACATTTATCATTGAACTGTGAAAACTTTAAAACCGTCTAGTATTGAAAATTAACCATTGTATTAATACAGAAACCGTTTCGTTGAACCAGCACAGAGAAGGAATATTATCAAATGTTATAATATGTGATATATCGATATTATATATACATTAGATATTGTCGGATTTCTACGCATTTCTCCCTAAACTGTGAAAACTTTAAAAGCGTCTAGCATTGAAAATTGTGTAAATATAAAAGCTATGTTTACGACAAATATCATGGGTAAAAAATTACTGTAGTAAAACAATAGGACATTTGTTATGGTTACTGTAGTAAAACCGTCGTTATTTTTAATAAGGCGAGCGGGCGATGAAACGCTTCATTCATTAAACACTAGCGATAGAAAAATAACGACGTCCACGTATAAACAGCTAAAACACATTAATAGCGTAACACTTACCGTCTGAGTGCTCGGTCTCCTTCCTTTCTTCGGTGGTTTTACCGGAGAACTAAAGATCGTCAGAGCGCCTCCTACAGGACGAGCGATAGAGAAGAAGAGAAGAAACGACGCTCCCGCTGCTGTGTGGAGGGCTGCACCAAACCTTATTTATTTTATTTCAAAAACACTATTTCAGTGGCGTTGCCAAGACATGTATATAATATATCCATTTCATATGATTAAATAAAGTAATCTATCATGTTAGTCAGCCGGTCAATCAAAATGACCGTTAATTTTTGAATTACGCGAGTTGGCGGCTTTCTGGAGGACAGGACAAGAGAAAGCGCGCGCAGAACCAGAGAAGCGCAGTAAAGAACACAACAGAGAGAACACTGTAAACTTGCATTTTTAATTGTATTACACTGCTTTACTGTAGGCTGTGCTGAGGTGTTATGAATGGTTACTAGTAATACAGGCTTAAATCCCATTGTGTTCATACAGACAATCAAGGCGCTGTACGCTGATTTGTTAAAGTCCCAAATCAAAATTGAAGTTTTTTGGTATTAAGTACGAATATGTTAGCCTTAAGGTTATCTATAAGCTTTGTGTGCTCCAAAACAACAACCAAATTCACATTTAAAAGATGCAAGCTTTAACTTACAGTCTGTTGTTACCACCAATATCAACTATTTTGATGTCACTTGAGCTTCTCAACTAACTTAATCTGTCCAATCAAATGCTCTCTAGAATCTGAAGTCCTGCCCCCTGCACTATAAATAGATGCTGAAGCTGCAGCTGAAATCAGTCACTTGTTCACGGAATTATTATGGTGAATTTAATTGTTATTGTCAATTTGCCTGAACTCCGACAGCTTTGGAAAAATGGCACCTTTTAAACTGTGGTCTCTAGTGGAAGCTCCAGTGGTGGACGAAGTACACAAATCAAGTACTTGAGTAAAAGTACAGATACGTATAATAAAATATTACTCCAGTAAAAGTACTCCTTTTTCGATTTTACTCGAGTTAAAGTACAAAAGTATTCAATTTTTTATGTACTTAAAACTGCAGTCCGTAACTTTTTTGTGTTCAAAATTTACTAAATTTATATTATAAGCAAGTACACCATGAATCCATTTTTCAAGCCGTGTTTTTGGCTTGTCCTGAATCACTACGGTACACCTATAATAAGTGTTTATATTCTGACTATTTAGACTGGTTCGGGTAGCACTTGGTATGTGAACACAAAAAAAAATTGAGGGCATGAAAATAGTCACACTCATGGTCTTTGGTCAAAAATGACTAATGAATGGGAAATGGCAAAAAAAAATACAGAACAGGCTTTACGGTTGAGATTATATCACCACCTGTTGGTTAGGCATGCTCTTGACAGTGCTTCATAGCATGCGTTTACGTTTTCATGTGGACAGAGATTTTTTTTGAACGGAAGAAGGAAAAACTTTTAAAAATACCCGTGTACGTGTGGACATGGCCTGAGAGAAAACAGATTTGACCATCTGATTTTCACCAGTAAGAAAAAAAGTTTGTTTTGCAGAACATCACAGTTATATATGACATGAGAATAAGGCCTGAAGTTAGGAAGAACATTTTAAGGAAAATATAATTATATTTTCATAATGATTTTTTTCTTCTCAAACCTTGCCTGTGGTGTAAAAACACTTCCCACTTCAAATCACTTCCCACTTTGATAATTACTGTAGTTACCATGTTCTGAACATCACATCCTTTCTTTCCCCCCAGATGTAATCTATCTAGGTGGTTGAATAAAAATATTTGGACTTTATATCTAAAAATAACGGGGAAATGAACGTGCATGAGTTATTTTATTTAATCTGTGTTATTTGAATGTTTCGTTTTTTTACCTAAAACATAGAGACACTGATGTTGATGTGCATTCAAACATTTCAGTGGGCTTAAATAGATCACTCTTTACAGCAGATTTAGTTCACAAACAACTGACAGTTTTGACCTAAATATGATTTTCAGTTACAATAATTAATCCTGAAATTCGACATTAGTAACTTAATTTTAGCAGCATCAGTTGCGCTCGCGCTCACAAGATCTCCTGGTTCTTACTTGTGAATTCAGTTCACTAAAGACTCACACTAAACGGATCATTTGGATCAGTGAGTTGTCGACTCGAGAACAGCTGCAATCGGATCATTCTAATTCGTGAATGAATCGTTTGGTGCGATTTTTCGAACCGATTTAAAAGATTCATTGAAAAGAATCAGTTCGTTCTTGAATCAGACACTGCTTCTGCGTGTCGGAGCACATGATATTTTATAAGGAGTATGAAATGTAGTGAAGTAAAAAGTACGATCTTATGCTTTGGAATGTAGTGAAGTAAAAGTAAAAGTTACTCAAAATAAAACTACTCCAGTAAAGTACAGATACTTGAAAAATTTACTTGAGTACAGTAATGGAGTAAAATTACTCCGTTACTATCCACCACTGGGAAGCTCCGCCTACTGACGTCATAGGATCCCTTGTTCGAGACCAACAAGGTTTTGGGGCCTGTTCGGAACCAGGATCTTGGCACCAGCCCAGTATTTTTTTGATTGGAATAGCACAGCAGAGTGGTTACAGACACTATAACACAGACCGGTTACAGTAGACGCAATGTAGACGTAATATCATTGCAGGCGCAATGATATTACGCAACGCCTGAAAATAGGCTTATTGGAAGTTACCTAGCTGGGACTATTTTCAGGCGCTGCGTAATATCATTGTGCCTGCTGCACCCATGGTATGGCAGCAAAGTTTCTTGATTATTACACCGGAATGAGAGTATAGTTCCTAGCCATATCGGCCTGAAAAATCGCAACTTTTCATTTTCCGTCAGTCTTAGTACATGATGGAACTACAAAAGTGTCAAGTTTTAAATAGGAAAATTATAGAAACTCTTTGGTCATTTTTGAGCGAGATGCTAACGGTCTAATCAGATTCAATGATCTATGCTAAGCTAAGCTAAAAGTGCTACCGCCAGACCCGGAGATCGGCTGAATGGATTCGAAAACGTTAAAACACAACTGTTTAACTCTAGGGGAGTTGGAAAATGAGCCTATTTTCAAAAATAGTGGAGTGTTCCTTTAACAAAGGGCTGGAGCTCCTCGATATATCCTGCCCCTTGTCTTCTTGTTTTAGTTGAAATTACGTCACCACATATGCACTTCAGTGGACCTTTAACGGAACACTTCAGGATTCACACCTGTAAGTAAATGCCGTTGTCACTCCCAAAAACTGATACGGTGACATATTATTGCATATTCATGTCCGGATCATTTCAGTTTGTGTAACAAAGTGACTGAGGCCAATAAAGGTCATTAGATGTCATCATGTTTTTCAGGAAGTATTTAATAACTGCTAAAAGAATTAGGACTCGTCATTCTGTTACTGTGATTAAAAACCCATAAACACACATTGTAATCCAATATCAGACATTGATCTGCACATTACAATGAATTTAAAGTAAAAACATAGGATTCATTTTTACACTGTATGTAATGTTCTAGAGCAGGGGTGTCCAATCCTGCTCCTGGAGGTCCACCATCCTGCAGAGTTTAGTGCCAACACACTTACCTGAAGTTTCTAGCGAGTCTGAAGACCTTTGTTTTGTTTGAAATCATCCCCTATTCCCTCAATCACTATTAGTCCACTTGAAGGAGTCAATGAAAACAAGTGAGTGAATTCACACACTGAGTGTGCCGGAAGGGTTTATTAATAATTTGAAACTTAACTGCAAGTTCCAGTAGTAAGATTAAAAGATTTATCTTGAACTCTGTCAAGGAAACTAGCATGTACACTGCTCAAAAAAAATATAGGAACACTTTTTAATCAGAGTATAGCATCAAGTAAATTAAACTCCTGGGATATTGATCTGGTCAGCTAAGTAGCAGAGGGGGTTGTTAATCAGTTTCAGCTGCTTTGGTGTTAATGAAATTAACAACAGGTGCACTAGATGGGCAACAATGAGAAAACCCCCAAAACAGGAATAGTTTTACAGGTGGAGGCCACTGACAATTTTTCCCTACTCATCTTTTCTGACTGTTTGTCACTAGTTTTGCATTTGGCTAGGGCCAGTATCCCTACTGGAAGCATGAGGCGATACCTGGACCCTACAGAGGTTGCACAGGCAGTCCAACTCCTCCAGGATGACACATCAATATGTGCCATTGCCA